ACAAAGAAGCCAATGGTGACAGGTAAGGGTAAGGGTAAGGGGGTACACCCCAAAACAACTAGGATTCATTTGACAGGTGTGAGGTAGCCATATTGTCTTGGGTCCGAAAGCCATTGATCATGATTTTTGTAAGGGGGAATGGCCTATAGGAAAGAATGCCATGTTAGAGTATTCATATTATATATAAACTACATCCTACTGAGAGTACACTAAGGTGAAATATCTCACCAACCTAGAGAACAGCAATGCCTTTCGAGCCAATCTTTTCGACTTAATAACCACTGAGGTAGTTAATAGTAAAATAACTGTAGTTGTGCATTCTGAGACAGCTTGACACTTAATTTCTTTCATGCTAGCTGTAAATAAAGCGTGAGTCAGCATTTGCTGGAAAAATTTCAAAAGGAAAATACTTTTTAATAGGATACAAAAGAAAACCACATTTTCCTTAGCATCTGCCACCATCATTCCCTGGAAGATTCCAGAAGCCGAATGTCCTTGCTTTCCCAGTGGCCTTCACCTTTTGCTCCTAGCACGACAGATTTTATGGCTAATTTCCGGCAATTTATCCTGGCAGTTTGAGGAGGAATTCCTTTGGGAATAATATGCATAATTTGCATAAATCATTCTGATAGCATGCATATCAGCGTGGAACTCCTGTCTAGGTCTGCATCTCTCCCTTCATAATCAAAAGTGACTATGTTTCCACCACCACGAATGGGCCCTAGAATATAAAGCTTGAGTCTTTCTAATCAGCAATGTGGAAGGAACTCCAAATGGAGGTTCCCCCCGGCCCTTCACATTATAACAAATGGCTCTGTTTATGACTTACAATTTAGAATACACACACACACACACACACTCATATATACACACACAGAACCGGTGTTCAGGAGAATTCTGACACACTGAGTATCTAATTATTAGGTTATTAAAGGCAGGCTCCTCTTGAGGACTTGCATCCATCAAAAATAAAAACAGCTATTACTTCCATGAAATTTAAATCTACGTGTAGCTTGCATGGGGATAAGAGTAGCTTTGGGTGTCTTCTCCCAGGAGTTTTTTTTTTTCCTTAAGCATGCATTTGTCTAAAGAAATGAGGCTGCGGTCAGCTCTGGGTAGGCAGCAGGGTGATTCAATGTGACGTACAGTGAGGCTGTGCATATTCTCTTGGACTGCCTTCGTTATTATAATCAGGCAGAGTCAAATCGGTTTGCTGGTGATGAGGCCAGATAAGAACTTTGGTTTTGGAACATAGACTCTACAGCAGATAGCCACAAGGCACCTGACACGACAGATTTCAACTGGCAGGACACCAACGACCAACATTTCTATGGTGAAAAGCAACGGTTGCCTTTCCATGTACTGCTGCTGGCTCTGTTGGACCAACAAAGGATAGCATCATTTTAGCTTGTGGTGTGAAATGGTAGCTGACATATGTAGCAGTGCTGTTCACCCAACAAGTCCAGTAGGGGTGTGGGAAGAAGAAAATGCAAAACCAAAATAATGGTAGGTGGCTACTGTGACAGGGCAGGCATTTAACAATCCAAATAACATAGTCACATCTGATTGGCCAGTGTGCTCTTGGGAAGCATGGCAGCTTGTGCCCACTGCAGTATCACAAATGACAATTGGGCAAGCATATCTTATGCAGAAGTTAATCACAATAATGGAACTCAAAGTGTGCCTCAGCAGTCAGATCGTAAGTGACAAATCTGTTTTACCTTCCAGTACCAGTTATGTGTGCAAGACGGGGTTGGCTCTTGCTCTGAGCAATCATGCCGATAATCATTAGGTGACAAAAGTAATGAGTTGCATTATTATCAACAATGGAGAGTTGAGCTTATGGGGCTCTGGAATACAACACAAAAGCCAGCAGCTTTTCCCACCAGCCCCAGTATGACTGTGGGCAGAACTATAGGTTGTGAAGAATGACACACTGCACAATAAAAAAAATAACACAAATTGCAGCCTCTACTTGTAGTTGTCATAGTTGAGCAGACACCAGCCAGTGCCACTGACAGACCAGCTGGGTCCTGGGAGGACTTCCATGCTGCACCAGGAGGTACAGTAAATTATCCTGCACGGTAGAGCAACATCTGTTTCTGTGCTAGTGCCGAACAAACAAGGCAATTTAAAACATACCAAGGGATAACCAAGCAACAAATGAACATGACCCTCATTTTTTCTCCCTTCTCACACACGATGTGTTAAACTCCATTGTGCAAGCATTCCATGAAAGAGAAGCCAGCCTTTTTATTTGATAAGGTGTTGTCAGAGAGATTTTTTGCATATTTCCAAAATGGAAAGAAAAAGCTTATAGTATTGTTATTCTTAGAATCTCCCTCCCCCCACGCCTCTATCTTCATTTCTTTTATACCAAAGCTAGCACTCAGTTCTCAATTTGCTCTAGAATTAAAAAAAAACTTTCCATATACTTATAAATATTCAGTCTTTAAACCTAATTTGCTATACTTAGTTCACATGCCTTCAAGCATTTGTCTTCCAATTTCCACTGAATAAATGCGTACTAATGAGAACTAGAGCAAGCTGCTAAGGCAAAGCTGGGTGACTTGGGTCTGGCCTGCCACCAGCTTGTGATAGGCGGGCAAATTGAGTTAAAATGAAAAGTCTTGTCAGCTGAAATTCAACATGGTAGCCAAACAGCTAGCTGTCAATCATACAGCCCAAACAAGGAACTGCAGGTAATAAAAGGTCACTGTGAATCGTTACTGCATTTGGCTTTCATATAGAAGTAATTTTAATTAAACATGATTTCTATCTGTGTTTTACAAAACTTATTGTGCATAATAGATTGTTAATTTATGCTAAGATTTAGTGGATATTAGAACCACTCTCATTATTAGAAGGCATTGTAGAAAAATGGCCATCAAGAATGCAAATATGTTGGGGATAAAATTTATTCCAGGCAATGTAAGGTGCCACAGATCGTAACTGTGATTAAGGCTGGCTCTGTTTTATTACGAATTGGGCTTTGCTAACTAGTATCCACAAGAAAATTTAAAATTCCTACGGTGAATGAATACTTCTGAGCCTGAACTAATGTCATCACCTGGCTAGGGAAGCGTTGTTTCTCTTTCCAGAATATGAAGGTAATTTGATTAAATGTTCCATCTCAGCAAAGGGCTGAGGCATGTTTTGAACTTCCACATAACAGAGGAAAATATCCAATGAAAGGACATGCTGGTAGAAAAAAGGCAAATACTCTTTACTTTTGCCCTCAGATCTCAATTCTGACTGGAATAATTGACAGATGATTTTCATTTGCACAGTTAAAGTGCTAAAGCAGATCATGACTATCAATAATGCATATAACAAAGCAAACACAAATAAGCACATCCGGGTTTTTGCCTCATACTTAGGCCATGTCTCTGTGTGTGGAATGAATGTACTGTGACACAGCCAGGCTGTTAATTTGGGTCATCTTAATGATTGGTGCAGGCTGGCATACCATCTGATTAGCTATGGTGATCAGTGGATAGCTGGTATGGCTGGAGTGAAATGAATAACCAGGCCCGGATGCAGTCACTGGGGTTGAACATTTGGTGAGTCTTTAAAGAGAATGTGGATGGGAAAGGATAAAGAGGCATAGATATGAAGATGGTGTGCTCTGGAAGGTGTGATGACATGAAGGATGGCTCACAAAGTGTGTCTCTAGGTAGATGACAAGGTAAATAAGAAATTACTTTAAGTTGAAGCAAAAAAAAGTCACAATTTTTGGCTTAACAACTGTATATTTGGATAAGGCTAAAAATAACTGTGAATTGGTACAAATGCTTACCTGTACATTGCTTTTCAGACATAACCTCTAGTCTACTGCTAAGCACATAAACATAGAGTCAACATGTACATATTCAAGAAGCATTGGTCAAGGCCCTTCTCTGCTCAAAGCATTGGGTTATTATTGCTGCTGGTTAGCAAGGGGAGGCCAACATATGAATTTGATCTTATATATCTGATCATGTATATCACAATAGGAATCTGATCATGTATATAGCAATCTGGGAATTTCAAGGTCAAAAGGTGCAAATAAATAGGAATGCTCCCAGATCCCACTTAAGATACAGCAGAATTTCATTTTAAAATTTACTTTGATAATAGAAAATAAAAATCATAACATTTATCATGTACAAAAGGATGCTATACACAACACTGTGGCCTGGCTCCATCAATCTCATTAACATATGCATCATCTCACATCTTTAAAAATTATTTGTGGTGAAAAGCTTAACCTATCTTTCACCAAATTAATATTCATAACTTATGGTCTCCTCTTCCTCCCTTTCTTCTCTCAATTCCTTTAAAATGTTATGCATTTTCTGTTTGTGTGTCATACATAGGGGTATTGTCTTTTAGCACGCCAAAAGAATTCAACTGCTTCATGTGCCTCTTAAAAAAGTCCCAGAACTGAATGTGCTATTTGTCTTGGATGAGTAGAAAGGAACTCTCATTTTCTGTGCTTCAAACAGAAATTTTTCTGTGCTCCTTATGTACTTTTAGTGATGCTCTGTGGGAGCAGAGAAGGAATAGAATTTTCGAAATAGTGTCTCTACTGACTCTTTTTAAGCTTTCTGATACCCTAGACTTTCTCAGTCACTCTGGTTACCCATTATAGTTACCTGACATTGTAAAACAAATGAACAAACAAGCACTCCATGGCAAACCAATGGAATCCAATCCAATGCATTAACTAAAATCTTTAAATTAGTGGTTTTGAACTTTGCTGCCCTCTCTCCAACTGAATTTTTCTAGCTATCTGCCCTTACCTTAGAACAATGCAATCAGGAACAGAGATGAGAAGTTTGTAATCTCACCAGATATGGAAACAAAGGCTGAGAAGCATCATCTTAAGCCCCTTTCTAAAAAGCCTCACATTTCTTCATCCTATTCTCTTGCAGTTGATTGTTAGAATAAATAGAATAATTGGCTACTATAATTAGCACTTAAGTTCCCTTTCAATTAGCTTATTTCTTCTGGCCCAGTCTTAATTTTGTGCTAGCATGAAAATAATGAACATCCAAATCAATATTTCTAATTTAAAAAACAGCTTCTATTTTTTTGTATAACATAAATATCTCAGTGCCTCCATGTGCAGGTTTCTGATGTACTCTTTGGTGAAAGATACTTTTTTTCCTCCATCTCCAGTTAGAAGGGCCTCCCTTATACGTGGTTAGGGCTGAGAGTTGGTGGGAGGATGCTGGTCCAGCATACATAGGAACCTGGGTTCTACCCTTAGTATACATAAAAAAATGTTCCTACCCACAATATAATTTATGATTCATCTATTACCTCATCAGGAGAGAGGACTTTAGCTAACTTCACAATGATCTGAATCATTTAAGTTATCATGTTTACAAATACACAATTATTTATAATATTGAATGATTACTTTTCCAAAATAATTGCCATAATCATGACAAACATGTCACAGAAATATAGAATGGCAGAAATATATGAAATTTTTGAGGTGGGAGGGACACAGGGACACTGTCTTCGTATTTTTTTTTCTGTAAGTATCAAACTATTCTAAAGTGAAAGCCTTATTTTTATTTCAACAAACATCAACGAAGTTCTAGTGTGGAACTCTAGCTTTACCTTAACCACATATTCTAAGGATTTGAAAATCAGTGATAAAAAACATCTAGTAAAAAGAACTGGTCATGCTCTCTGATGCATATTTTATTGCAATTTTGCCTGAGGTGCTAGTGATCGTTGTATGGCAATGAAATCAGGCAGGCTCCACATTAACTTTTAAGTTTGCTATTTAATTGTATGATTAGGATTGATTACCTAATCTTTCCAAGCCCTGTTATTCAAGGATTAGGAAAAAATACTCATACTTGAAAAGTTAAGTAAGCTAAGATATATAAAGGACTTACTAAAGTGAAATCATTGGTACTAGTATTCGGCTAGGCTAGGCTGTAGTTCAGCAACAGAATGCTTTCCAAATATATGTGAGCCACTGCATTCAATCCCCAGCAGAGTAAAAATGAAGTAAAACAAACACAAACATGATTATCCATAACATCTTATCCGGAAGTTAGTAAACTCAGATAACTTATCTTGATATAGCTCATATTTCCTGGTGTTGTCCTGGTGCACATCATGGCTGGCTTTACTGAATCAAAATAGAAAGTTCTCTTCTCTTTCAGTTGGGGCAAGGAAAAAAAGATGACCAAGAGGTTTGGGGTCAGATAGGTGTGAGGAGAAAGATGTGGCTGTGGTCAGAAAACCTGAGTGAAAATTTGTGCCTCTCCCCTTTTACTACTTCCATACCCTTAGGCAAGTGATTTAACATCCTACTCATTTTCTTATCTGTAGAAACAGTGATAAAATAATAGCAGAAACACTTGCTCAGAGAATGTAAGTAATTAACCCATGAAGTAAGTGATGAAGCTGCTTTGAAATACTGAAATTATTCATAGAAAGTCATATTTTACCATACCTCTGTTTTACTCCAATATCTGCAAGAGAATTGGGTCAAATTCAGAATATGCCATTGAAAACAAATAGATGACTGGAATTTACCTCAGCTGTTCAGGAGTTATGATTAATTTTCTCTTATGTTTTTATTAAAATTGTATGATCTTTTCTCTAACAATGCAAGATTACCTTTGTGGACAAGGTAGATTTGAATATGACGCTGGTTTGGTTCACAAAAAAATCAAAAAGGAAGAAAATAATATGGAATTTCAGGGGTTTCATACAGGTTAAATGTCATTTTGGAGAAAACTTTTACTGACTCGCTACCCTGTACTATCATGTTGTTTACATACCTTTATCGGGTATCCTATAAGAAGTAGTAGACATTAAAATTATTAGCTACCAATTTATCAGAATTTCTATTGTAGAGCATTGTTCCTGTATCAACATTTAGCTTATCTTCATCTCTCTGTATCTCTTTTCTTTTTCCTTGACCCATATTTGAAATCCAAAGTTCTAAATCATGCCTTCATTCCAGCTTTTATTGCTAGAAAAATTGATATTAAAAAAAACTTTTCTCTTAAGTTCTCAAGCTTCCTTTCTATAATCTTTTCCTATTTGGATTTTTAGCCCTAAGTAACAATTAATCCAAACCTCATTACACTTATTAAATCATATAAATTTAAATTTAACCACAGAGATCTGCACTAAACATTAATAGATCATTTTAATGGAGCCATGATAAACAGAATCTTCACTTAGCAAGACACATAAATTACAAAAAAAGCTATGTTTTCTTCGTTTGAAAGGTAAGAGTAGACTGGTTTTAAAGAGAAATTCTCAAGAGTGATAAAAGCACAAAGCTCTCATAGCCTCTTGCAACAAATGATAGTTTTGAATTAGTTTAACAGACTATGACATCCCCACTCCCTTTTCAGTGCTGCTTCATCAGAGTGTGCTGGCATGCAAATCTCTGCATAAAGAAGAATCTCTTGTACTATATCAACATAAAAAAATCTCTTCCTAGTTAAAAAAAAAATGCAGCATTCATTTTATCATTGTAATAGTTTCTCTCATAATGATAAAGACTCACAACCCCCTTTTTAAAAAAGAGACTGTATTTAAAACACATTCAACTCTTCCCTTAAGGAGATGAGAAGACACGTACATATCATGTGGCACATTGTGAATATCTAGTTGCATGACTTTTGCCTTTGTACAGTGTAGGTTCCTTCAACACAGAGAAATATTCATGTTTGTACTATTACTAAGTGCATAGTTTATCTGTTGTGTAACTGATTCATAAAAATGTACTCCAATCTGATTAAACTTTCTAGTAGATGAATATATATATATCCTGAAAGATCATCAGCTCCATCATTTCAATTCTCTTAATAAACAACACTGGCCTCTGCTGGTGACAGAGGTCATGATGAACCTTGCTGGCTACTACTGAGTGCTGACTACCCTTTGTCTAGGTGGATCTCAGCTCACAAGAGATTTTTGTTGCTCTGTTACTCGTTGGTTGGTGACAGCAAAGCTGTAAATATATGAGAGCTACAGGAATGATCATCTGAAAAGATGACTATGTATTCAAACAGATCCAAATTATTAGCTCTACAGTTTGCTATTTCTTCTGATCAAATTAATTCAGATGCTTCTGTTTTAAAAGATTATTGAAAAATAATCGTTTGTTTCCATGACAAGAGCTGGGAGAGGAAAAAAAGAATTGATAAATTTCAACTAAAGTTTTCACAGTAATACTTATGAACAGAATACAAAGACATATTTCTTAAAGATTACTTGTATTACATCCTGGTATATATCATCTAATTAAGAAAATACAATGGAAAGTGCATGATTATATAGAGAATTCAGCCTGTATCTTCATAGAGACTGTAAATATTCTTTCCAGAAAAGTACTATATATCCGAGTGGAGGCAACTACCCAGATTTTTACATAAGTTTTGAATATTTGTTCCTTAACAATTCTGCAAAGAAAAATAAATATTTGGATTTTAATAATATTCAAATTATTTTAATTCTTGATCCAAGTTCCTTTGCTAAAATATGTCAAACACAGTAAACTACAAGGTGACACATTTTTATTTAATGATCAAGGCACATTTTTGCCATTGCCTCTGACACTGATGAGTCTTAGTCTGACCAGTGGGAGCAACTTGTGTAATACTTGGAACATTCTTCTCAGTGCCAACTGGTGGTAAAGGTGACCAAGATTGAGAGAGCCTTTGCTCTTAGAAGTTGCCAGAAGAAACCAGAATGTATTGAAAAAATAAAAAATGAAGGCCAACATAGGCTAAAATATTAGTATCTACAATGTCTGAAAAAAGAGTGATAAATAAGCATTCTTCCTGCATTTCTCCATAGGAACTTGGAATTTTGTGAAAAGTATCCTTGAATGAAATATTAATTCAGAGAAAGCACAGACAAACTCACTGATGGGGAATTTAACTGGGAATATAAATTCAGTACAAGATTAAAGAGTCTTCTCAAAGGCGGTAAAGGAGAATAAAGTCCACAGTAATCACAGCTCATGTCATACATGTCTAGGCCTATGTAGGAACAATGGCAAAAAATGAAATATTTGTCCTACAGCCCTCAAATGTCTTTGAAATAGGGACCATAAACATCTCATTAGTGAGCTAACGTTATAAAATATAACTGCTTTAGATGGAGTCTTTGGTATGTGCTTTTTTTTCCTTCCTTCCTTTCTTTTCATATTTCCTTCTTTTTTGTGTTTTTAAATCATTAAATTCTAGTAAAGGATTTTTGTAATAGTTTTGAGAACCAACCATATACTGACAACACTGTAAGGAAGAATAAATACATTTGCACACAAGTTGCCTCTCTAAAATTCTTTTTCAATCACAAAATCCTTTTCTTGTCAAGATAGTACCGCAGTGTTTGGAAAGCATTAGCACACTAACAGATGCTCAGAATCAAATGACTTAATAGGCATAAACTTTTTTTTCCCAAATAATTGCAGAGCTTTGGTTTAGCCTTTTGCATACCTCGCATAGTTAATTACCTAGGACTTAATGTTTACATGCAATGAGTGTATCTACAGCTATAAACTACATAATTTATAATTGATGTAAATGGGTGTTATTATGTCAATTAGGCAGCTGTGTCCTCCACCTCTTGGTAAACAGCTATGAGTGATAAACTGAGTTTGTAGAGAGGTACCTTCTTTTCTTCATAACAGATAAAAATAAATTACCTAGGTATACCAGGCTGTCCAATTGTTCTCTGTTGAGGTGGATGGAAAATCCAGACCCTTTCTTTTGACCTGTTGACTGCAGAAAATGGTCAATTTCATCACGCAGTGCTTCCATAGCTTCTGGGTGCCGGAGAAGATAATACATTGCCCAGAACATAGCTGGAATAGTGTTTGCCACAGAGGCCCAGAGAAAGGCAAAATGATGTGCTGGGAGAAAATAAGTGAAAAGGAAGATTAATAGCGTTTATTACACTGATTAGATTTGCAGTGTGCTAATTAAAAGATGTTAGGACACAGACCCAGCCAAGGATCAGTGCATGCTAATGAGAACCAATAGGCTTCTGAAGTCTAATTTTCTGCTTAATGAGAATAGTTTAAAATGTAATGTGTGTGTAGAGGGGGCAAGAAGGTGGGGGATGAGATAAGAGGAGTAAATGCAGCTTAGTTATACTCTTTCTCATTATCGTCATTAAGTATCTTGTTTTACCACCTCAGCAAAAAAAAAAAAATCAATTATCATAGAGGGTTGTTTCAGAGTAAAACATTTTACCGTTAGCCAATTAGAAAGAGCATAAAAATTTTCAAGGTCGCCATCTTATCTTTTTATTTCAAAGGTGTACTGTAAATTATTTTATTTAAGGCAAGTAATCATTCAGAAATTCCTTACCTCCTATTTCAGTGTCCTCAAGATTATAGTATTTCTCCAGGATATTTTGCCTCTGTTGAACAATTTCTGACCATCCTTGTATGTGAGTTAATTTCTCTAAGGTAAAAAATTGTATAAGTTTCTTCTGCATAGCTTTGGCATTTCCTATAAACTCAATGGGTATGTCCGATGTTATGTATAAGAACTTGTCATCAAAGTTTACAAAATCGTCTCTTAGCTCACTGATTATTTTTTTGCTATCATCAGCAAGAATTTTTCCATATATGGTTGCAAATGTGAGCTCAAATATTACCGACCTACAGAATGTTAATATTTGAGTTGTGTTCCAATTTTTGCTTTCTCCTAAATGTATATCAACAATTTGTTTTGCATTCTGGAGTATATTTTCCAAGAGTGTTTCCAAAGGTTTGCCTTGCAAATATTGATAGACACCATGAAGGTCACGGCCAAGGTCATCATTTTCTAGCAACTTCTTGACAGAAAATGCTTTTGCTGCTAATTTTCTACCAAATATTTGAAAGCTTAGTTGTCTGTGATATTTCAATAATAACTGGTACTGGAAAGGGTCCAGAACAAAGGTTATATATTTTCCTAAAAAAAAAAAAAAAAAAAAAAGGATATGAGTTCATTTGACAGCCAAACAAAAATACTTACCTTAAGTCTGAAATACTTTTGTATTAAAAATACCCTGTTAACTAAGACGCAAAAAAATTTTTTTATGTTTCCTTTTTTTAAAATTAATCAATTAATTAATTTTTTGTGAAAATACTGTACAGAGGGGTTACAATTACATGGGCAAGGTAATGAGTACATTTCTTATCAAGTATTGTAGCCTCCTCCTTTGTTTCCCCTTCCCATCCTTTCCCATCCTTCCTCAGCCCCCCCACCCAATCCTCCCTGCTCCCCCCCACCCCCCCACCCCCAAGTTGTACGTTTCCTTTTTTTTTTATTGTGAAAATACTGTACAGAGGGGTTACAATTACATGGGCAAGATAATGAGTACATTTCTTATCAAGCATTGTAGCCTCCTCCTTTGTTTCCCCTTCCCATCCCATCCTCCCCCCACCCCCCCAACCAACTTTCTCTCCCCACCCCCCCACCAAAGTTGTAAAGTTCGTTTTCAACGTAACGACTTGTACGTCTCATTGTTGCAATGGGTCCACCTGTATCCCTACTTAAACGATTTGTTTTTTCCCTTCCCCTCCACAAATTATACCAACATCAAATTCAGTGAAAGCAGGGGTTATACCGTGGGGGAGGGACACACAAAGCAACAAAGAAATAATCTTATAAATGTGTTAGAAACACTTGCATGAAAGAAAAAAAACATTTGAATACATATCTTAGAGTTCATTTCCCTAACATCAACTTAACTGACCTTTTCTGCTTGATTCAGACATATACTAGTTATTACAAATAAGGGAAATCATGGGACCTATGTTTCTTTGGGCCTGGCTTACTTCACTTAATATAATTTTTTCCAAGTCTCTCCATTTCCTAACAAATGGGGCAATGTCATTCTGTCTGCTGGAGGCATAGAATTCCATTGTGTATATATACCACATTTTCTTGATTCATTCATCTACTGAGGGGCATCTGGGTTGGTTCCATATCTTAGCAATGGTAAATAATGCTGCAATAAACATAGTCGTGCTGGTAGCTTTAGTGTGGTAAGACGCAAAATTTTATACAAATCTATTTCCTTCAGAAGTTTATTACATGTTTGCATTAAAATTCAAGATAGTGTGAAAAACTCTAGAAACTTGAGGTTGTTTCTTGCCATTCTAAATTACCATTGACAAGACACATCCAGTCTTTATTTTAACTACAGTATTCAAACATTAAAAATGTTCTTAACATAATCTCACAATTTCTTGGTGTTAACATTTGAATTTTCCCAACAAAACAACCAATAAATTGGTCAGATGTCATTCCATTACTATTCGTACTTAATAAAAAGCTTTTTCATACCTGATACCACCTTTGTTTTGGTCAGATACAATTTTAACTCAAATACACGATAGTGCACTCACAAATAAACATTTAATTTACAAAGAAACATCTAGTCCAATACTAACAAAAGAACATAGATAATAACATTTTCATTTTTGTACATGAGAATATAGTTGCTCAAAGAGATTTGGGAACTTGTTTCCAGTGACATACCGACTTGTGACGAACACAGGATTCCAAACTAGATCTTATCTACTCATTTCATTCATAAATGCCTTTAACACTTATTGGGATCTGCACACTTGATTGGGTATTTTTTAATGTGAAGCAGATTTTTATTTTTTACACATTTAGACTTAATATACCATTTAAAAGAATAAGTCAGATTGTTTTCCTGTACTCTAAATGGAGTTGGGGGACACATTCCAGCAACATACATACACATACACTCACATGCACACATACTCATATATACACATATGGAGAGAGAAAAATCTTTTACTAAAGGTATACAATAAATGCTGTTTCCTTTCTTGGGGTGACTGATATGAGGAGTATTTGTAGCATGGTGGAAGGTGTAAAACATAGAAACATAAATAGTCATAAAATCATTTCTTTCCTATGAGTGCCCAAAAGTGTGCTAAAGTGGTCGCACTGATTATCCTTCCATTCTTCTTAAGTATTTGAAAACCCATGCTGTTGACCATTCTTTACTATTGCTGTCCTGCCCTCAAGAACCTGAGAAACCATCCAGGAAATAATTCAGGCATGTAAACAGTTAATATTAGGTTGTAAGTATTAAATGATATCGAAAAGGTGGGCATTAGCTCCAGGGAAGATGGAATCTGTCAGGCCTGTTTGTCTGGATGATTTAATCAAGGTCAGATAAGGATTGGCAGGATTTCTGGAATGTCCCAGATTCACTGTCCACCTTCTTCTTTCTTCTCAACAGCTCTACAAGGTCACCTTTGGACAAGAAAGGAATAGCTTTTCTTGCTGCGTAGTTTCCCTTTGGATTTCACCAAAATGATGCTATCTTCTTATTCCATAGAATCTTGGGGGAGAGTCTCTCTATCTTTTGGAATCTCTCAGTGACTTACATGGGAGGATTGTCAGTAGTACTGGATGTTCTCATATCAACTGTCTACATGCATAGACACTCCTTGGGTAGACTGTCAGAACTTGAGCACAGGAAGGGACAGTAAAAGAGCAGATAACAACTTATGCTACAAGGGTAAGGTCCTGAAACGGTCTTTTCTAGAGTAATTTTAAAATTATTTTTGTGAGCACTGCATTGACTATATTTAGCCCCTCTATATACCATGTTTCTCTTTAGCCACCACCATCTCCACCACCCTCACCACTCACCATTCCCATTGCCACTCCTACCAACATCTCTACCTTGGTTGGGGCCTTTTCTCCTTGAGACATGAAGATGCAAGGAAGCCATTGAGTCATGATGCACAGAGATAGGACAGAGGGGGGAAAATATTGGAACAGGAACAGAACGTAAAATTTACTATAGATTCCCTCAGGTTTTTCATTAAGGGTTCCTTGAGTTGAGGATATTTATCTTTTCTATGTATCACTTTTTTTCGAACTTAACTGATTAAAAATTTATAGTGCTTGCTCAAAGTATAGACTCCTGAAAGATTCTGATACATAATGTCTGGAGTAAGACTTACAAGTCTTACTTTTGAATAGATTCTCAAGTGATTCTTATAGGGAGACACCTAATGAACGAAACTATGGTCTACCTCACAAACCTGGCAAGTACCTTGGAGACGTCCTAGCTCAATGCTTGTGTTTATCTGGTGAGTAAGAGGAGGAAGGGGGCGGGGAGCTGGGAAGGTATCTCAGTGGTAGAGCACTTGCCTTTCATGCATGAGGCCCTGGGTTCAATTCCTCAGCACCACATAAGCAGAAAATGCTGTAAGTGGCATTCTGACTCAAGTCGTAGAGGACTAACCTTGAGCTGAAGAGCTGAGGGACAGCACCCAGGCCCAGAGTTCAGGCCCCATGACGGACAAAAAAAAAAAAGAAAAGAAAAAGAAAGAGGAGGAAGGCAGAGACATAAAGTAGGAAAGATTCTACTGCCATTTGAGTGGCAGTACTTGAACAAGAAGTTTCCCTGTACCTTCTTTCCTCACACAGTGTTGTCTTCTAATTAGACATACCATGTTGCTAATATTCAAAGATAACATTTAATAACTCTTCCAATAGTATACATGGTTTAGATGATCCTAAAAACCTAAATCTCTAGTTAGTTCTTTTCTCCATTTCGTCATCTTCATTGTCTATGTAAACGAGTACAGCTTTCTTAGATGAAGAGCTATCATTTGTAATTGATGATAACTCATGTCATCACCGAAAATTCAATTCAATTTGGTATAGATATTTAAGCTATTTCTCAGCCATATTATAGAAACAGGACAAAGTGTTTTTATTTTTATATTTTAAAATTTCTAAAAATGAATAATAATACACTGAATTTTATTCATTCCAGTTCACCTTGATTCATTTAATGAAGCCAGACAATCAGGAATGAATAAGCTGGAAGTAACTACTTATTTTGGTCAGGTAGCAAAGCTCTTCTTCAAAGCAACTGGATTTCCCCCACCTCCTTTCCTCCCTCTATTTTCCTCCTCCCTCCTTCCCTTCCTTCCTTCCTTCCTTCTTTCCTTCCTTCCTTCCTTCCTTCCTTCCTTCCTTCCTTCCTTCCTTCTTTCCTTCCTTTCTTCCTTCCTTCCTTCCTTCTATATGAGGCCAGTTAAAAAGATTCAACTTGTTTGGGGCAAACTTCATATCACCTAGTTTACCACTGCAGCTTAATTAAATAACATAGTCAGAATCTACCTGACAAAGAATTGAGGGAAAATGTCACTTTTTTATTTTGCAAAAGATATAATTTTAGGTCATACTATGTATTTTTTATTGGTAGTGATTCATACTTTCTCCTTTTACCAAATAAAAAGTATTTTGCTAAATATTTAAAAAGTTATTTAAAAAGTATTCCTTAAAATTTAGAGTGTATGCAAGGTGTGATTTGGAAACACACAGTATTTAGAAAATAATGTGAAACTTTTTCTAATTTTCTACATTTATCAAAATCTAAGTGTATAGACAAAAATATATTCAGACTGAACAGCATGAACTATCTATTACTGGGCCTCTTGAACTACAAGTTGGATACATATCAGAGTTTCGTTTTGTCTACAGGTCAATGTACATATGAATTGCCTTTCTCTTCCTCAACCTCTAACTTCTCTTTCCCAATAATAAGAAGAATATGAAATTCATTTAAAATAAAAGGATAAATGTTGAATATGGAAAAATTGGATTAAAGTTAACAATTCTTATATATTTAAAGCATTTTTTTGCATTCTTAATTTTCTTCAACATCAGTGCATTATGTTCTACTTTATCGGATTGAGATATGGCTAGACAATTTTATTTTTTTGGATTTTACTTTTCAAGTGGGTTTGGAAGTACTAATAACCCTGGAGATGTTAGCTGGCTCTCCAACTTTTAATCTTCAGTATAAACAATTTAAGCTAAGTTTTCCAAAATTAATATTAATTTAAACCATCTGTCCACCATCTGCTAATGTGAGATGCAAAACCAGAGTTTCTTTGTGA